CAGAAAGCATGCCACATTCTACATAGTTGTCCATTGTTAGCTGTCTTACTATAGCTGTCTGTTGTAGTACTTTCATATTTATTGCCAAGAAAGCTAAAAATCGTTAAAGGCAGTGGAAAAAAAAAAAACCAATTAATCTCATTATAACGCTTAAAATGAAGAGTTGTCTATTCCTAACAGTGCATACATCTCCACATAAGTTATCACTAAATTTCATGTACATTACTACAAAGCAGTTTCAAAGCTTTATCAGTAGTGCACTCTGTATATCAAAGTATCAAATTAATTGTAGACTGTTGTTTTGTTCTTATCTTATTTCTTTGCATAAGCCTGTATTTGCTCTTCACATTGATATACAACTACAGCCTTTTAAACCTAGTAAGATGCAAACAGGCAAGATATGCTCTAGCTGTATCTGTTTGATAAATACTCTGTTGGGCATTCTGCTGTGGACTTTCAGGGAACAGTTCACATTCTGCTTTTATTAAAACAATGACAATCTGATTCAACACTTCTAAAATCAGTTTGGCTTTCAAAGGTGTAAGAACAAACTCTGGCTTCAAGCTGTCACATTTTATTATAATTATTGGTTAGAAAGTGAGTTTCACATATATTGGTATATATCTTAACCTCTGAAACTCAATAGCTACTTTGCTACATAACGTGAAAATTAACAATACTGTGAAAGTCAAAGGCTGAGGGATGCTATAACCAAAAGAGCATCTTCTCTGGTCAAGGAGAGGTAGGAGGAGTCATATCTTCCCCTACTCTGCCTGCTCCATACAGGGGATTAAGTAAGGTGGCATAAAACCTCTCTAACACCTTAATGTCCGATCTCAAAATCCTCTGAAATGAAACATGGTTTTAAAGGAATGTCCTTTTCTGTGGACTTGCCCTGACAGAGCTAGAATTTAGCAGAAAGTTTCTAGGAAAAATTTTTAAGCCTACCAGTGAGGTTATGTTTTCACCTCCACTGTCTCCTGATAAAGTTCTCTCTTGAGAATAGTTGCAGCCATGCACAATACTGGAAAATGACATAGCTTCTTTGGTGGCTGTTTCCTGATTCTAGCTCGATTTCCTGATTCCTAGTCACGATACCTCACAGGTCTGCAAGCGTACTCTATATGTGCCAGAAAAACGAGGTTGGGGCAAACATTCTGCTATTTGGGTTAATGAATATATTTTGGCTTTCATTTTCAATAATTCGAATAGCAAAATAACCTGACAAAAATTCGTAAGTGCAGTTGTTCTATACATACACAAAACATCGGCATGTTAGCAATACATCATAAATGATGGCATTTCTAACATTGCCTTTGGTTTCTTTCTGTCATCAAGAAAATTCTCTGAATAAACAAATGTACTGGTGTCATTTCCCTGGCTAATGTGCCATGCAAAGTAGATACAGTTATAGAAAGCTCTGACTCCACTAAAGGTTGGCTTTTTACCAGATTCAGTAAGTGAAGTCAATGGTGAAATGCACAGGGCACCAATAAGCAGTGCTGAGTAGGAGGGACCAGTTCTATACCTTCTGCCTTAGGGAAAATTAGCAATGGCTTATAATCACCCTTCCCTGAAATTAGAGGTAAAACTAAGAGTGTAAAATCTTATTCTGCACTTCCCCCTGCCATCCTCTTCATCCCGTCTTTATTGATTAAAGGAACATTTATTGTTTTTTAAATTGCTTTTTTAAGCATTGGCTTCTGGGGCTTTAAGAATCAATGCACTTGCTGCAAGGACTGGATGCAAGATTGCTACTGAATTTATCTGTGAAATGTACCATGATTGTGTTTCCAATTTATAAAAGTTCTTCCTTTCCACTGCATAAATGAGTATGTTATCGTTTGGCTGCCTTGAGATGTGCCTGCAAAGTGGAAGAGCATAAGCTGGAGAGACATGCTCAAAGAACAAGAAACATCTATTAAATTGTACATTTAACTGTGTAGTGAACAAAACAATTTAGAAGTTTCAGAAAGTTGCAAAGAGCGTTCAGCTCAGATGTGTGATAATGGGGCTTGATCTGATGGGCCATGATACCTCTCCTTAAGCTCTGTGATGCTGTCTTCTAACCTAGGCAATGAGGTAGCACCTCCAATGATTTTCATTTCTTTATACTTACAAATGTGAGCTTGAGCTTAATCATCGGACAGATGCTGCTTTTTCGCTCTGAGAAGAAGGATAATTAAGAGTCCTCAGCCCAAGGCTTGCAAAAGTGACTAGTGATTTCGAGTTCCCTCTCTAAACTGTGTAAAGAGTAAGCATATGTCTGCAGGAGGAATTCAGGTTCTCTTTAAGACACCGCAAACTGAAGTTCCAGCAAAGGAAGCATCCAAAATTCAGCGTGATTTAAAACTCTTGGTGTCTTTTATGGTATTGCTAGCAATGTGGTTAATTGTGGTACACAGAAATGATATAACATAGAGCTGAATTGTGGATCTCCTTGCTACAGGATGTTCTGAAAGCTGAATTTTTATGTGGAATCAATTTTTATTTGGAACAAATCATAGAAGAAAAATGCAAGAGGACTCTTAAACTAAAAAAAAAAATTGTCTTGGGAAGTCTCTGAGCTGCAGATTACTGGAATTTGGGAGAGTACCACAGTGTCATTACATTTGGCCCATTCTCATTGTCTTCCCTAGGTATCTGTTGTTGGTCACCACTGGAGACAGGATGCACTAGACTGATCTTTGGCCTGATTAGTCCAGCTGCTCTGGCATTCTTGCATTATGTTAACAATACATGTAGACAAAGATTAGCCCTAATTTATTGTACTTACCTATGATTTAATAGTAATGGTAACACAAGTCCTTAAAATAGACATGAATATATAAAGAGCATTTCTTTTATATTCTGCTCATGTTTTATATGAACATGGATCTTTCAGCTGTGTCTCAGTAATCACAAGAAATCAGAGAGCTGTTTTGTGGATGATAGAAGTGAGGAACTGAGTTGATGAATTGTCAGTGCCAAACATAATACAGGATAGAGTTGAATGAATCTTCAAAAACAGCTCAGTTACAGAGCCTACAATACAAAGTTAGTGAAGGTAATGGTGAAGGAAAGTTGGACTCTATCCAGTGCTACTTTAGTTTTCAAAATGAGTGAAATCTGAGAAAAAAAGAACCAAGAGAAGAAATCTCAGGAATCGGTTTATATGGAAAGTACTCCTCCCCTTCAATCCACTGTCTCAATTTGCATATACATGTCTCTCAGCAGTTAAATCATGCGACCTAGACATCTCTGAAACCAGACATCTTTAAGGAAATGTAATCCCTCTGTTTCTGAAGGTTGGCTTCCCAGTTGTTCATGCACCTACAAAATATTGTGGATATGTGAAGGACAGAATTTTTTTTTAAAGAGGATTTGTACTGTGATCCAGAACTTCTTTCTGTAGTTTTAGTGTGAAGCAAAAAAATCAGATTGATATTATCTTTTGTGAGAGAGAAACTAAAGGGACAAACCAGCTAAGATCCTGATCAGAAGTACTTGTTCTTTGGCACCGCTACTCCCAATGGTGGCACCAGGAGAGACGAAGTGATGACATCTTCCCGTCTTTTCGTGCCAGCAATTTTTGTGTTAGCCAGAATGAACAGTGTGTACACTGCATCCACTACACACTGAGAAGCTCTGTGACAGGGTGAGTCATATTAAATATCCTGTGAAGCATCTGACAGGACTGATATTCTGCACCACACCCTGACGCAGAGCTGCATCTTCAAAGAACAATCAAGCTCTTCATTTGCAGAAATGCCACCCATACAGAAACAAAATTTTATAAAAGGTCTGATCTGAAAGCCTGGCATGCTCTGACAAACCATCTCAAAGTCTCTTGCTACTCTGGGGTGTGGAAGACAACCCTGCCCATATACTCCTTTCTGTGTGGTTATTTTATAAATTAGAAACAGATTCTAATAATTTAATAACAGCAAATAAGATAACAATAATATGCTCCAGAACCTTTCAGGATCTTTGCTTCCATCATTCCCACTAAATGTAAAAAAGACATGTATGCAAACATGTGAAACTGCTAATAGTTCAGATATAAACCTGAGACACAGGTATTCTTAGGAAATCACATCCAGAGGAAAACAACAGTCGATAGTCAGTTTTATATTATTAAATAACTATTTTTTAATAATGTGGAGGTGAGTGTATACAGTCTTTTCTCAAGTAAAGCTTTAGGTGAGGTATTTTTTCCTAAAGGTACAACATGGAACTGAGATTGCAAAGCTGGTGCAGCTTGTGCTTACCCAGACAAGCAAGGGCTTGATAAACCAAATTTGCTCAACCATTTCATCCGCACGTTTAATGTTTTCACAGGTAGGTCACTTAACGCAAAATACCTCCCAAGTTTTTGGAGGAAATGTAACTGCTGACACAGATTCTGTCCCCTGACATCTGCTGTTACATCATAGGTAAGACTATCGCTAACATCAAGAAAGCCTTCCAACAAACAACCAGCTCCCAGTGTAAGAAGAGGGGGTGGAACATAAGGCATCACAACAGAATTTATTCAAAGTGTGGGGAACCAACTTCAAAGGTTCATCCTATCTACTTCAGAAAGATGGGCTACAGGTGGGACTGTACGTATTTACATGGTATCATAATCTGGAAGCATATTTCAGTCGTCCTTATCTCCCATTAGTCACTTCATACCTGTACAGTAGTTTGAAGATACAGAGTGCTATGTTAAGTGCTAAGTATTTGACTGATCACCTGTTACCAGAAACTGACTGAATCTGCTATAGAGAATGAAATAGTCTTTTCATTATCCTGAGAAATAGAAAACCTTCTCAGCCACGAAGGCAAGGCTGGCACATTCAACTCAAGGTCATCACAAGAGTTGCAACTATATCTTCACTTTGATACAGGGACAGAACTGAAAGCACAGTCAGTGAACCAAAGCATGATACTGTGCTGAGCAAATTGAAGTGCTGAATTAATCAGCACGTGATCATTCTGTTTACTGTTATTTTCCTACTTGGTTAATTTTCCCTTACCTGAAAGTCAGAAGCCCAAGTGCCTCCAGAGGGTTAGAAAATCTCCATCTCCTCAACACAGCATACATTTCTGATACAGTCATTCGATCCCAGCTGGGTGCACTGCCCAGTACCAGAGGAAGGGAGCAATTTTGATTATTGCAGTAGTAACGATAAAACCATAAGATTCTTCTCTGTTGCTCTGAGAGTCTGGAATAGAAGATTAGAAATTCAGTTTGAAATTAAAACCACCTGGAGCTTTGTGTAGCAACAAACTTTATTGTACAGAGGGGCCAAGTCATACAGTACACTGTTTTTTTGGCTAAGTACGTTTTTTCCTTGGGGTAGGATATAATTTTCTGCACACCAGCTTTTATAAGAAAAGTGATACTTATCCTCTGGATCTGTCAGCCTTGGGTCATATAAAAATGAAGTGTCAAAAGACACACATACATGGTTATTTCACTTCCCAACCACTCTCATTTTTCTTCTCCATTGTCTCTGTTGTTGGTGCTGTTTGTTTGTTTGTTTGTTTTTACTAGGGTTTTCTGACAGACACAAAGAAGGTGCAATTATCACTGGATAAATTATTGTAATATCCATCTGCTATACATCATCTCTAACTAACTACTGTAACAATTAGACACACAACACTACTGGCCATAGCTTTCATTCCTGCCCTTGCTTTGACTGTTTAGTGCAGGTGTGTCTATTTTTAGTGTATTTGCATTTAAAATAGGGTTTAGGCACATCCATGCACATACACAAGAACATGAGCATGTGTGCATGCACACGCCCACACACATGGAGTGTGATTATCCCTAGCATTGGTATGAGTTTGGAAAAGGGAAAGAAAGCTTCCAGCAACTTCTATGTCTGTTCACAAGGCCTAGCACGCCGTGCTTCGCTGTACTTACTTATAAAAAAGGATGCAATACCAAATTCCTCATAGAGATATTAGATATCTAAATAACCTATCGATAAAATGGTCAGTCATCACACCATATTTCACCACAGTGAGAAATGCCTCAGAATATTTTTTGCTATATATTCTCTGGTTTGTCAACAATTCAGATGTTTTTGCCTCATGCATATTAGATCCTAGGTTTTGATACCATCAGAAAACAGAAAAAGAAATTCCCCATGAGAGACAAGCTCAGACTATCTCCTCAATTTGATATCAGAGCCTTCAAAAGCAAGCTTTGAGAGTGCAAACTGATCTCCAGTTCACACAAATCATTACTGAAATCAAAAGGAACATCAGTTTTCTTGGTCATACTTGACCAGATTGGTGATCCATCTACTTAATAACATAACATAACTGTGACTTTAAACAGACTGAGATATTTCAGAGCAAGGTGTGAGAAACTTTGTAGAAGGTTGTAAGTAAATAGCTCACTTCTAGACAAGCGTTTCATTATCCAAATGCATAAGGAGGGATCAAAATCCAAGTGTTTACATTCCTTCCAAGGTCTTCTTCCTTCTATTTGCAATGTTTTGGGACATTCTTAGCCAAAAAACTATCTTAGCCCTGCTCTAACTGTCAAGATTGTGGCTTTCACAACTCATAGCAATGAGTTCCTTTGGTTCTGTATGCACTAGAGAACTTTTCTTCTTAGCAATTTGGAATTGCCAAGCATTTAGGAACAGGGAGTGGTGGTACAAAGATGGGCATGTTTTTTACTGTCACAAGAGTGAATGTTTATTTCTTTCTCTTAGGAGAATAAGCTCATAAACGTACATAGAAGATGAACCTAACTATGATACAAATTCTGTCATGACTTTTAGTAATCATTTCAAGAAAAGTATCATTTTGGTAACCATTCCAAGAAACGGCTTCAGAATTCACAGCATGTCTATTGTGACAATAGATAGATGTCTTTGTGTTTGTGTGAAGAAGTCATACACAGAAAAAGAGATAAAAGTAGGCCTAAAACTTTATTGCCTGTCTGGTTTTCTTATGCATTCGGATGGTATTCTGCAGGACAGTTCAGCTAAAGGACCCCTTTTATATGTTGACTTTAAACAGGGATTTAAGCTTTCAGACAGCATCCTCCAAACTAGACAATCTGTTGTTCAAATTAAAGCAGCTAAAGCCTCTACTGAGCTCACAAAGGGAGATAAGAAATCAATCGTTGTATCAGGTTTTCTAAACAACAGATTTCTCCCTCTGACTTCACTCCAAAGGCAATGCCATTTTCTCTTTCAATGTTTTAAAGATCAGAGATGAAATTAAAGGTTGGGTGGGGTTTTTTAGGTTTTCATTTTGAGTTTCTTAGTTGTAACAAAAGCTTACATATACATGTAATAGGACATTTAAGATGGATGGTAAAAGTATTTTGCATACATACAGCATCTGAAGATTATGCTGCTAATAAGGACATTTCTTTGGCTCAACAGGGATAAGATGCTAATAAACCCTCTTTATTGATAAAAATGTAGTTTACGGTTTTTTAGGTAGAGTTGTATCTAAATTTCTCTCCATATAACAGCTATATTAAAATATATAGCCTTCTACTCAACACAAATAAAAATAAAATATCTTAAAACCTAAATAATTCAGTAGTTTTCAGTTGGAAAGTTTTCATTAATCCCTTTAGCTAAATGAAGGAAACAACTTCTGTGAAAGCTTTGTTAGCTGGTCTTAATTACTACTTTTTTTGTGGGGGGAATGGCAAAAATGAGTTTAAATGCTTCTGAGCTGTTTTTGTTGTTCATGTTCAGTACTAAAGCACAACAAGACAAAAGGCAAAAAAGGAAAGAGCAGCAAATCTAGCAAATGCAAATTTCTGTCCCCTGTCTCACTTGCAAGTTTCTCTCCTGTGGACAGACTAGCAAAGTGTGCAGCATCACTGCACTTTTTTAGACCTGTTCCACTATTGACTCAATTGGAAGTAGCCTTTCTAATCAGAATTCACAGCAACAGCACTCTTGTGACGACTGGTAGGCAAACTAGATTCTTACCAGGTAAGTGGCAAAAAGGAAAAGGAAAAGAAAGAGGGAAGCTGAAAGAGAAGAAAAAGTAAGGTAGAAGGAAAATGATGAATGAAGGAAAGAAAGATAGCAGAAACAAGACTGTCATGACTGTCATCTTCCTGGCTTCAAACCAGTCTCTGGTCCTTACACTGGGAGCCGCTGCGCACAAGCAGGCTGTATCACGTTCGAAGAACAGCTATTATCTCAGATGATTAGTTTTCTCGGGTTTGTATTTCAAACACAGTAATCCTAAAAGGAATCAGAGGCTCACATCTGAACCGTTTTCAGAAGTCAGCCGAAGTGGCTGGCAGTAACTAATGAACCCGCCTCTTGCCTGGTTTTGTGATGATGCCAAAGATCACTCAGCAGCACACAGAGTAGGGCTGTGAGGAGCCACAAGAGCCATATGGTGAAGTTCATTTCCTTCAGTCCCATTGATCCCCTCACGAATCAACATCCAAGAGATGCTGGCCATGGAGACCAGTGATCTGAGCCAGCTACCAGAGAGACAGGGGTCCAAGAGTCAGCTACTGGGAAGACCATAAGTCTGGACCAGCTACTGGGGAAACCCACGTCCGTGTAACAGGAAGAAGTCCAAGCTCCAGCAACCGGAATGTGGTTGTGAACCTCGGGGGCTCACATGTCTGGGTGTCAGCAGCTGGGGAGAGCAGGGAGATCTGGGGCCAGCTACAGGATTGACTGTCTGAGCCCAACTACTAGAGCAATTAATATTTTAATACTATAACTATGAATATATGTATGTATGTATGTATGTATATATATGTATTCCACCAGTGGACTTTGCCCCTGACCAGGCAGAGAGGAGGAACAGAATAAGGCTGTCTGTGCTGTCCATTTTGTGGCAGCGCTACGTGTTTGTGTCTGCTGGTAAGGTACTGCTTTCTGCCTGTGTTGGTTTGTTGATATTCCTATCAGGAACATGCGGTCCACCTCTCTAATGGCTGAACCTTGGGACATGGAGCCACAGCAGCCTCACATTCATAACAGTACTGGATTCAACAGCCTTATAATAAGGACAACCATGCAGTTGTCTGTTTTTAACCATTTTTTTTTCTTTTTCTACCATAGGATTAAGAACATTTTCTGTCCATTCGCATATTCCCTCTGCTTTCAGTAGAATGAACAGAAGGATCCCGACAGCCTGAGAAAGGTTTCTTGTGTCTTCTAACCATGGACACACATTTATTTCAAAATCATATTTGAGGCTTGTAAGCCTGAAGCATCATCATACAGATATATTGTCACTGAAAAGCTACCTAGATTTGTCTCTTTTTCTTGACATACAAAAAAAAAAGAAGGAAGAGATCTTCAGATATCGCGGTAATAATGTGTTTGGATACCAATATGTTGTTACAAATATTTTTAATAAAACTCTATCATGATCAAGGAAGGTAAAAACAATGCCTCTGATACAGATACAACAAAAATTACAGGCTGACAGATTCCTCCTGATCTGAAAGTACTTAAAACTGGAATTCCTTCATTCAAACCCCAAATATGCTACCCTTCACCTTGATGATTCATTTGGTAGTCCAGCTTTGCCCTTAAGATAGAATAACTGAAGACAACAAACTGGAAAAAAAACAGGACTACCACATTCCCTTTCCTCCACGCATCTGTTACGGAACTTATCAAAGCCTTAACTCCAGCCTGGTGACTTTCACTGGTATCTTCCTTTCATATTCCCACAGAACCCAAAATTATTGAATTAGGGATGTTATAGGGTCTACCCTTGCCTGGTCTTTGTAATACCTATTTATGAACCTGTTATCCATGAATTTGTGTATAGCCTTCATGAATCTGATGATGTTGTCTACCTCCACAGCTTGTGACAGCAGATTCTAAAAGTTCACCGCTGACTGTCTTAGGAAGTACTTTCTTCCATTTGCTGACAACTGATCTCCTACTTGTTTCACTGAATGTCCCTAGTTCGAATATCATGGGATTTGATGATGCATTCACCTTGTCCACCACCATCATGATTTTTTAAAAATTAATCATACATACACACACATCCTCTAGTGTTCTCCTCTCCAAGCTAGGGACTCCCAGCCTTTTTTGCTTCGCTTGGTCAAGCAGCTGCTTAATCCCTTCAATCATTTTAGTTGTCCTTCTCTGTACATTTTCCAGATCTACTGTGTCCTTCCCGAGTTGTGGAGACAAGAACTATGCAGCATACTCAAAATACAGCATGTCAAGGTTTTAGACAGCAGTGAAATGGCACACACTGGCTTCTTCTCTCCACCCTTCCTGACGATGCCCGATATTTTGTTGGCACTTTCGACTGCTGCTGCACATTTTACTCATGAGTTCAGGGAAATATCAGCAGTAATGTCAAGATGTATTTCCTGCATTGTAACTGCCAGTTTTGAGTTCAGTGTCATGTACAGATGCTTAGATAATTTTTCCACACTGAAGTTCATCTGCCATGTTTATGCCCAGTGTTGTAAGGCCCTTCTGGATCTCCCCTCCATGGCACAGTGTTTGACAATCTGGCAGAGCTTAGTACCTTCTGCAAACCTGGAGATTTCCCCACCTACTTCCTTCTCCACGTCATCGATGAAGATACTGAATAAAATGGGTCCCAACTTTGAGCACTGCTGATTCTTCCGTTCTGAAAAGCCACCTTTAAACATCCAATCTTCACCTTTAATAATTTTTCCTCTAAACCCATGGCAACTTCATTTCTTTAACAATCTGATGTGGATCAGCAAAGTTTTTTGAACATCCACCAAAGCCCCAATATCCATGCACCCACTGACAACCTTCTAGGACAGCAACAGGTTGGTGAGGCAGAATTTCTATTCACAGAAGCCACACTGGCTCTTTCCAGACAAATTACTCTGTACTTAGCTAAATGCTTAATGATCTTATTACTTCTTAGAGAACCCACTACTTTACCATGAATAGAGGTCAGATGCATTGGCTTGAAGTTCTAGAGCACCTTTTGCAGGTGAAAATTTTGCTAGCAACTTGCCAGTGCCCTGGCACAGTGGCTATTCATAATAAAATACTGACCTCCCATTCATACTTAAAAATAAAATAAAAAAAGAAATAAATCACAGATCCCATTGTTAATAACAATAACTTTACATTTCATCCTGTCTTTTTAAAAGTTGAAGTAAACATCAAATACACCAGCAAGTGTATTTGTCTCTTGTCTTTTTTTAAAGTAATTGATTTAAAAAAACCCAAACAACCAACACAGAAATCAGCACAGAAAGGTCGTCTTAACAGATATGTCATATCACACTGAGAGGGCTGAACTGGCTTCAAGTTATTTAATTATTGTACAACTAATGCACCTTTTGGCCTTTGATGGAGGATTAATTCACACAACTAACTGTGATTGGTATAATGGCTCTCTGTAAGCACCTGTGTTCCCAATTCCACTCATATCTAAAATTATTTCATATGGCATATAATCCTAATTGATAATGTAACATACATATAGCTGAGCATACTAATCTGCCCCAGTATATACAGTGTGTTTTGTTTCACTTTGTTTTTATCTACCTTCTGTGAAAGCTAAACTTTCCATACTTCTTTCCGTGCTTACAACTTGACACAGATTGTTTTAATGATTATTTTACATTTAACTACTATAGCGAAAGTCTGAGCGTATTATTACTAAAGGAGGCTGATTTTCATAGAACCTAAAGGTTTTCTTGCTAATACTGATGTAGACTTACTGCATCACCTGAAAATCTTATGTTCTGAATCAAAAATTAGTTTCTCGCTTCAAAGACACGAAAAGATACAGTAATAGAAAGGGAAAAACAATTCTTTTCTAAACTGGTAAAATGCACTGCCACCTCCAGGTGCTTATTTAGGCTTTGCTGTGATCTATTCTCTCATTTAGAGGTGTTATTTCTCAAGTCAATCAAGCTAGACTCCTTCAGAGGAAAATTTTGTTTTTAAAGAATTGGATACATTTAATTGTTATCGCTAGGATAAGTACAGCAAGCCAAGAATCAGCAGGGCTAGCTGGGTACAACTTACAGCAAGAGAGAATGTGTCTGCGAAAGTTTTGTAATATGCTTCAGGCAGTCTTTGGTTGGCTCTTCAAGATCACCTCCTCTTTCTTCAGGTTCAGGTTTAATGAACTCCAAATTAGTTTCTGGAAAGTCAATCTTTATTTAAAAAAAAGAGAAAAGACAGAAGTCCTTTTAGCAATATGTATTCTCAGATATAACTGTCAATAAATGTTATCTTGGATTCTTACAGGAAGAATATAAAACACGAGAGGAAGAAGAGGGGATAATTCTTTGAGGATGTTCACTGTATGTAATACATTACTTAAATATGTTGGTGATAAACTCAGCCCACAAAAATCAGTGGGAGCTTTGTCACTGACTTTCCTGGGAGAATTTCATCCACTGTATTTCAATTTTACTGAAACTGCATGAACTCAAAGCTGAAGTAATTTTTGACTTTTTTCCTCCTTTCCTGATTTTTAATGAGATGGTTCTTAAATGGAAAGCTTCCATTAATGCAGATTTTTTTGGTTTTGGTTTTTTTTTTTTCTGAAAAATTAGGGATAATTCTGATGTGTACAGCATCTACCAATTTTTCATTCTTTACACTTATGTATGGGTATCAGAAATTTAGGATAATGTTTTTAAGATACAGAGAAAGAAAACATTCACCAAAATTACACAGCTTGTGGTGCTTGATAATCTGAGTACAGACTTAGCTGAAAATTCAGGTTGTTCTTCAAAATTCAACTGCACGTCTTGTTTTGGTTTATTAATGCACACCATAATCTCTTATCTATATCTATTTTTTTTAAATACATGTATTTGATATGCATCACTCTTCTAAAGGTTAACACAGTTATTCCCTACAAAATTTACATGTCTTGTCAGTCACATCAGAAAAGCTATCTTTATGACATCTTCAGCATGTTCACAAATCGTGATACTGTCACATGCAAGGGAATAACTGAAAACGAAGGGGGGGAAATGAGAGATCCCCCTGTTCCGTTTCTTTCAGCAGAGAGAAATTATAAATTAATAGCCATTTACTGTCTCAAATGCCTTTTATTATTAATGGGGGGAGCTATTTTAAGGCATTGTCTTTGACTGAACTCCTCAGACTAGAAAATCCCTATTTGCTTGTCTATTAAAAATAGGACATTTTTAGGCCAGTGTCATTTATCTGTATTATCTGCTTTTACATGTCATTTGCTAATAGTCATTCAGCTTTTTAATACAGAAAACAATTGGCTTTGCCCTTGAAGTATCCAGTTGTTAATTTAACCTGGAAAGGTGACAGAACTACCATGCAGACCTAATGCATTTTCAATACTGGGAGCACCATTCTGCCCAGAATGAGTGGGTGCTCAGCACATAGTCATCGAGGGAGAGCTATACTGATGCCTATTGACAATCTGCTTGTAGCCACTTCCTTTACAAATCCTTTATGCTACTCAGCCTAATTGCAAGCTATATGTTATGTTTATAATGGCATGCAATTCAATAGTACTCAGAACAAAAATTCAGATTTGAAAAGGCAGCTGTAAATCAGGTACAAAGTCATTAATTCGTGTAAAAAGTACTTTTGGAACCAGAATTATAACACCAAAAATTACCCTACAAAAACCTTCTCTAGTTCTCAGAGGTGGTGTTTGATATGGAAAGTATCATATGTATTTGCCAGAATTATAGATTTCCATCCATTAAGATTAACATGCTCTCTTCGAGCAGCTGTAATGGAAATAGGATTTTTAATTTGTGTGGTCTTGATGAGCTGTGGGAACAATCCTTTTTCTTGCACTTTGTTAGAAAGCAACCCTTTCTCACTTTCTTACCTGCAATGTTACTGAAGTTGGTGTATCAGTACTGCAGATGCCTGGGGTAATCATTGTTGTCGTAAGCGTGCTGTACAACATCATGCTAAGCAGCACAGTTCCGTGAATGAGCTGCCTGCAATACACAGAGACAGAAATACTACATCTGTACTGGAGACAAGGTGAACAGGGTTATTGAAATTACATCAAACAACATGGAACTGGATAGCTTAGAAGAGAAGCAAAAGGAGAACAAACCTTTTATCTTTATGTGGCTAGCACAAATCTGGCCTGGATCAGTAGAGTGTATACTAATGGCCTTACTGCTGTAGTTGTATCTGTGCAGTTGCAGGGATCATGACACAAATCAAGCTGCCAGGACATTCCAGATCAGCTCTGCACTTCACCACTGACTTCTTTTGTGACAGTGGTTGCCATTTAAGCTAGGTATAAAAGGATAATCCCACAATTCTATTTCAAGATATAATTTTGAGGACAAATATGTTAGAGATTGTGAAGTGTCAGCACACTATATAAGGTGGAAGGCAGCATACATTTATTTCACAAAAAGAAGAAACTCATGGCAACCTACTGCAACAATGAAGGATCCTTGCTGATTTTATGTGTAGATAGCAGGGAGGCATGAGTATGATATCAGGGTCTCCAAAGAGCTGAAAGGAGTTTGAGTGGGATAGTTTGTAACTCACGTGCTGCACATGGTTTTTGGACAGATGAAAGATTGTTGTCTGAAGTACAAGTCTGAGCATTACATGTACAAGAAAGTCTTATCAGAAACAGGCATGCATGTGGTCTGCAGATAAGAAAACCAGCATGATTTGACAGGTCAACACAATTCAGTCTGGAGAACTTGAATAAAATCAGAAAGTTCAGGTGTAAATTCTAATCATACCCAATCTACTCGAATTAAGAATGCAGTACTTGAATAAAGGAAGATAGAGTACACTGGACTTACCCTTTAATTTGTCCACATCTTAATGGTTAGTGGAATCAGAAATTTGGTTATGTTCAACACCTCTTCTTTCACTGACAAATGATTTTTATTACGATCGTTTCAAGCACTGCTCAGTCAATACAACTGAGAGAATGAGCTAGATTCTCTTCTGCCCATTGCAACAGAAACAGCCAGCCAGCTAGATGAGTTTTGAGTGCACAGCTTTTACCTGAGATGAGGATGTTAGAGGTACAAGAGAACCTAGATGGACTGCTTAATCCCAGCATGACTTTGCAACATTGCTGAAAAAAGTACCTTTTGAATTGCAAACTGAGATAAATTGTTGCTAAGTCATCTGCAGAAGAAATAAGAAACTCCCGCAAAGTAATTTTTATAGTCAACACTCAGTGTAAACCTAATTTAGGCCTAATTTTTCTTTCTCACTTCTCAAGCTATTCATGTTGTTAGTGCAAACATTTTATTTTATTGTGAGAACACAGCTCAGGAGGATTAAAGACAAAACTATTTTCTGAAGTTTCTTTTGCAGCTGTAGGTGTATTTGCAGGGGAATGGAGGCAGAAGAAGGAGCTGTGATGTGAACTAGATAGAACTCGGGGGAAAGCAGTTGTGTGATATGAAGTCTTTCACATTTAGGTCACTGATGTGAATGTGGAAGTGATCAATGGTGGTTCAAAGTTGTTTTTCTGTGATGTGTACTCGGATGACCTTTAATAAATGAGTGACATCTCTTCAACTACTTCTTTGTGGAAGTGGTTTACATCATAATTTGAGCTAATTGGCTCTTTTGTTAGAATGGAGAGGAGTAGCTGAGAACTGAATGAACATGAAGACTAAATTATCCTTTTGAGCTCTCATTACCGCTAATCACTTTCATATTGTGCTTTAAATGAGGGCTTTAAAAAAGAGTCCATACAGTGGACTTTTTTCCTGGGAAACCTGGAAATCTGTATAGGCAAACACAAGAAGTAGCACACACCTCAGAGGCACTGCAGATGTGTTTATTTGAGACATTTCCTGAGTTCATTATTTGAACTCATTTGCACTCAGTGCAGATGTAGCTAAAGACTGTCCAGGAAGAATATGAAGAATCAGCAGGTGGGCTTCTCACAGTCCTCACCTGGAGAAACAGCAAGGAAAGCAATGTATCTTTGCTGGACTGAGAAGACTTCACATGTTAAAGCAGATGGCAGGACTGTGGGTAAAACCAAAGACATTAAACCACTTTGATAGTATGCAGATGATATCTCCTAAGAAAAAAAATGAATTAGTTGTAAAAACTAGACACATACTTATGCCTTGTATATAGAATAGCCTAATTCATACACTTACAAATAAGTGAGCAACTTACGTATCTTCCATCTTTGGACTAAGGCTAGTCTGGAAACACAGGAGGCTTTTTTAAAAAGATGTGAAGAGGCATCGACAACTGCAAAATACGGTGTATATTTTTGAGGCACAGCTTTCCCTAGCAATCTTTGGGCACTGTATGCACTGTACAGCTAACATTTCTCAGGACCGAGTCTGCTTTTGGAACAATAAATAAATAAATGGAACAACAAGAAGGGCCTTGCGGGTGAATGAAACAGTAAAAAGAGCATGATTATTTTTAGAAAAAGGAAAAGCAGCAGGACAGTGTGCAGGCTCCATTCAGATAAAGGAAGGAGCAAGCATCACGAGCATGATAACCTTTACTGAATGGACAGATACCTCTCTCTGCTACCTGGTTCAGTTTTGGGCCCCTCACTACAAGAAGGACATTGAGGTGCTGGAGCGTGTCCAGAGAAGGGCAACGAAGCTGGCGAAGGGTCTAGAGAACAAGTCTTATGAGGAGCGGCTGAGGGAACTGGGGCTGTTTAGCCTGGAGAAGAAGAGGCTGAGGGGAGACCTCATCGCGCTCTACAACTACCTGAAAGGAGGTTGTAGCGAGGTGGGGGTTGGTCTTTTCTGCCAAGTAACTAGCGATAGGACGAGAGGAAATGGCCTCAAGTTGCGCCAAGCGAGGTTTAGACTGGACATTAGGAAAAACTTCTTCACTGAAAGAGTGGTCAGGCCTTGGAAGAGGCTGCCCAGGGAAGTGGTTGAGTCACCATCCCTGGAGGTATTTAAAAGACATGTAGATGAGGCGCTTAGGGACATGGTTTAGTGGGCATGGTGATGTTGGGTTGATGGTTGGACTCGATGATCTTAGAGGTCTTTTCCAACCTTAATGATTCTATGATTCTATGGTTCTGCTGATGAGCTCAGGCAGGCCACTCCCCGTTCTGCCTGCCAGTTTCCCCATCTGTAAGGTGAGGGTAGTGATACTGACATTTGTAAAGACTGTATAATGATCACAGCCATAGACAATAGTTCCATGTAGCAACTTCAGCATCAAGCACATCAGAAGGTGAATAAACACATGCTGCTCTGTGCTTACTGCCATTTATTTATTTATATGCTCATGCAAAACGAGGGCAGATGGAAACCCCTGGAATTACACAGATTCCCAGCTTTTGTTTATTACCAGCGCTAAAATAAACTTCCCATCTTATTACAGCAGAAGAGGACACCGCTATTTAAGGGCAGCTCAAGTTACCCTAACTTAACAAAATCAACCTTGTGTCCTGAAGTCACATGGGAGACTTCCCTCACCACACCCATCAAGAGAAAATTTTTGTTGCTTGCTCTGTCTGATTTGGAAATACCAGTTCAAAATAAATTGTGTTGTTAGAATCAGTGAAAGTAGAGCAATGGGCCCTGTGGGGGACATTACAACTCCTAAATTGCCCCAAATGATGGATTTCTGATTTGTTCATTAGCTGTGGATCACTAAACTATTCAGCCCAAGAGATAAACACATTTTTCTGATGTGAAGGAATGGAAAGTTGGCACATGGGTTTGCAAACACTTTTTGAGCTGCCTCTTGCGTCTAATAAGACTTCTTGATATAGACGCACCATCAAGGGCCTTATTGGCATTGATTTAGGGCCACTATCTAAAGTCAACTACCTGATAAGGATGAGAAATGTGGATGCAAAGGCTCACCTACTGGACGAGTCGGCAGCAGCAATCGTTATTCTCATGTTCATTCCCAAATGTATATTAGAGTAGAGTTATTGTTTAGAACGGATACACCAGGAAAATGAGGACAAAACACAGTGTAAAAATAACATAATTATCCCCAAGCCTGACATTATAAGCCTCAGAAATTCAGAGTTGAGGTTAATTTTAAAGGAAAGCCAAAGCTGCTAAGCTATAAAACCCCCATATCTTATGGTACAAGCACTCTTAATTCTGCATTGGAATGATACTGTGAAATAACTACTTTATTATAATTACAAATACTATAGCATTATAGAAAATTCAAATTAGAGATACGATTTTCAGCTGCAAAGTAATGCTAAATGTCCTATACACATTTATAAGAACCACATGTTCTATCCCCACAGTTTCTAGTTTAAATAACTTCCAGAAATTTGAAGGTGCTGAATACAGCAAACACAGATTATTTCAGACTTCTAAAACAAATTTGCAGTTATATTCCTGATTCTTTCCTAACTTTTGCCCGAAAACATAAAGTTAAAAAATAAGTGTACAAGCAATAATTTTAAGGTAAACAACTACATTTAGGCAAAGTTTGGAGAAAATTTACAGGAAGTTTTGTAAAGAGTGAGACTATTTGTACAGAAACATGCAAAGTTGATAAACAGTAATACACATTTGATAAAAAAAAAAAAAAAAAGAGTATAGTGGCTGCCCTGTATACCCATCAGCTACTCATGTTATAAATCAGCATACTGCAAGACAACTTTTAGAATAGTGAGAAATATTACTGGAATTCAGGAAATAATGTAAATTAAGCAAGTTTGAAATTTACTAAACATCTGTTCACTGACAAGTCTTTAACAACAACAACAACAAAAAAGGAAAATTAAACAGGCCAAATTCTTGAGAACATTTTTATGTATTGTGTGGTTTCAACATGGGCAAGGTATGGAGAAGAGATCAACAATAAGAAATGCTAAATAATAAGTAATATGCTTTATTTAAACAGTTGGGTTTTGCTTATCCTTTTTTATATATTTCTCATACACTCTGCTTAGTCAGTAGGTTTTTAGAGAAGAACGGGAGTGTTAAAATCTCAGGAAATAGCTACAGCCCTTTGATCTGGCAAGGGACTTTGACATGGTCTTTCCCAAAAGCATGAGAAACTCTTCAGACTTCTTGAAACAGATAAAAGGTATTTGTATACTCTATATGTTAAAATAAATCCAATTCTTCTTAATCCTCAATTCAAACTAAACATAAAGAATTGAACTATGAAGGAGAGAAGCAACCATACAATGACTATTTTGGAAGAGAAAATAGATACCAAATTTACAGAGAGGAGTAAATTCAGAGTCTTTTAAAATAAAGTGTTCTTTTGCCCTACGTCACTCAAAGATCAAGGTTCCTAAGGAATAGCTGGGAATAACCCAAAACTGATTTTTTTTTTTTTCCTTTTCTTTTTAACATAAGCTACAACCAGCTTGAAGAGAATTCTTGTGTTTTTAATCAGAAAAAAATATAATGAGACAGAAATGAGGAACTGTATTTTTAGTGTTTCACATTTATTTTCTTTTTCCAGTGTTTAACAAAAAAAAAAAAAAAATTAACAAGCATCTGAACAGAGGAAAAAAGACCACTCCCTGTCCTTATCTTTGCTGACCCTGAGAAGAATGGCTTAGTGACCAAGGGGGACAAGGATTTGAACAAAGATATTTGATGACCCAGGCAAACGCCTCAGGGCTACTGGCTTCTTCAAAGAGCTTATTTCTGTCCTTTCCCCTATAAATTAAATCCTAGAAATGAGAACGTTAATACTTTTTTAGAACTCAAATTCACCTCTGAGAAAAGTTTTCTTTTGAGAAAATGGTATTTTCCAAGTTATAAATGTTTTGTCAAAGATGTCCTGGTCAGATTTCTTTAATTTCTTTATATACGTTTACAGAGTTTGTTCATTTAGAGACCCTAATACCATAACCTTTGCGATAATACAAGGTACTCTTGACATATTAGCATGACACTACAGGTACAAATCTTTTCTGGGTACGTACTTTCAAGTTCAGAAGTACTCTACTGAAATAAGTCTTGAAGTTTAGTTGCATTCCAGCAGTGAGGGAAGTTGTGTTCATTGCTCAGATTATTAGTGTTTTCCACAAAATTGGTGAGTCAAATAAAAACAATTATTAACTTTTAAATTTTTTGTGGAGCAGGGAACAGCCTCTCAAAGACTTATTGTTGCCTCTCAATTACTTGAACTAACTGATAGCATTACCTATTAAGAATTACCTGACAGTTTTAATCCTGCTATTTGCTAAGTAGGTAACCTTCAGAGCTAGTTTACTCTACCAAAAATATTCATGATCTTCCAAAGAAAAGGAAAAGCAGGCTGGGTGAATGTTCAGATATTTTCAAGTTTCACATTTCAGAAGGAATTTCAGGCCTATCCTTATTTTTAAATCAGTCTAACAACTGAAATCATGGTGAATGAATAATTCTGTGGAGTTGTGGTTGGCTAAAAGAGAAAAAAGCATTTAGGCTTTTTTGTGTTAGTAATTACTATAATTTTAAATGACACAGCTATGAGATTAGGGGGTGTTGAACATGCTATTCCTAAGTCATTCCTCCCCAACAGCTCAACTTTTATTTCTGGTTTGAAGGGTATTTTCTGTAATGATCTGTACAATTATACAGAAGATGAAAGGAAAGTAACCCTCTATCCCCTTCATTGTGCTGATTGTGTGTACCATGAAAAGATGGAGCCTTTTTTCAGTAAAATTTTCAAAACTGTCTAGGTGACTTGGAGATCTACCTAATGAAAATCAACATGCTTGCTCCAATGGCATACATTAAAAAATACACATCATAGGGAGCTGAGGGCTTTCAGATCTTCCAAAAATCATTCCTTTGGGACTTGAATGCTGAAAAATAAGAAAACCTCACAGGTCCTTTAGAACAGGATTCTCACCTATCCCATTTACCTCCAAAGGTGCCCAAGTGTTCCCCAATTAAGTTATCCTGCCTAATGCTCTGCTTCTGCATGTACTCAGCACATATCAGCTTGCTGGGGATGAGGACACCTTACACTTCATCTCAAATTAGATTCTCAGCCAAGATATTCCCTCTATCTATTTCACCCTAAGCACGAGGATGGTAGAAATACTCAAAATAAACATAATGCATATTCTGTTTAAAAAGACACACACAATGGAAGTGTGAGTGATGTGCTCTTCTTCAGATGAACTTAATGAAAAAAAAGTCATTGAATAAATTGCCCAAGCAATCCTTGGAGCAGAGATTTGATTCATGTTTCTTTCCTTCCTTCAAGCTAAGTGCTCTAATCACTAAGTCACAGAAGAATGCTCTCTTTTTCTGAACAGAATAATCTTGAATTTTCTTCTGAAAAGATGGAAAAAGCCTCTAGCCCAGTCCAATCTATTTCCTAGTGTTTTAAGCATCTCAGCTTAAAAGTTCAATGGAACCCAAAGTCTTTGAAACATAGTAAATTCATACATGCGATCAGATTTTCTGGGTTTGTTTTGTTTTAAATGGTGATTGCCACCATATGCAGAATTAGATGAAGATGTCTCAAGATGAGGAAAGAGCTGTATAGCTTAGAGATGGATGCTGATGCAGAAACTCGTGGGGCTTGAACATACCCATCTATTGCCCAGAAGGCATGCAGGGCTATGGAGTCTAAATAAAAATTAACTATTGTTAATTCAGACACCCCAGTGCTACTGAAATATATTTAGGGCACTGCAGAAAATTTACCTTAGATCTCTGTTTAAGCATTACTGCAGAGACATTCAAGGCTACAAGCATCTTTAAACCACTGTTACACTGTGTGCTGTGTAGAAAGAAGAGGTTAAAAAAAGAAGAGAAAACTTCTAAAGTGGTGTGTAGAGGGAAAGGTGCTCATTGTGGTCATCACTAACTGCCCCACTCTGAGCAGAATGAATGGATGCGAGAACAGGACGCAGACTGAAAAAACCCCAACCATTGTGAAAAAGAGGCTACGCTGAGAAGGATTTTGAAAGCTACAGGAAAGGGTGCAGTAAGGCCTTTCAACAGGCCTGGGGAATTTTACTGTAAGTGTTAAACAATTACATAAGCCAAGTTCAAAAACAATGTATTGGAAAGAAAGAAAAGCTTATGGATGGGGCTCTTACTGGCACATCAAGAGCAGTTTACTGTAAGTGACTGTCTCAGTCTTATTACAGCAAAGTCCTGAAATGAGTATTTCTGTCTTTTTATATTTCTCCCAATTTGAGTGCAATACTATTCAAGAACGGTCTTTTCTTAAGCTGTCATATAAAACTGAACTTACTCTTTTGGATACAATGGGGAGCATGCCCAAGCAAGCATTTCTGTATTTTTAGAGGCACTGTTTACTCCAAGTA